GATGACATTCTCTCTATTAGATATCGTTCTTAAAAAAACATTAGCATTCCGTAAAACGGATTGTGACAACGTTTGACAAGAACCAGTTGGAACTCTTAGTGTTTATCGAAGTTCAATGAAGATGGACTCAACTGAGATATCTATTTATTTCTTCTTTAGATAGACTTAATTCATGAACTATTGTTTAATCGGAACAAATAAATTTAAATATTTGAACAAAAGGAGTCTATTTAAAACGTTTCTTGAAAGTGAAATTTCAGTGGAGCGAAAAGATCTGATCGGACTAGCGATATACTGGACTAAACTCTCTTGTTTACGATTCCGGTCACAGCTATGGTAAATATGGACTAGCCACGGTTCCGGTCTAAAGAAAACTATTCCAGAATTTATTCGTATCATCTCTAAAAACCTCTTCAATATTAGTTTTTTGATTTATTTAGTCGATGACTAGCACTTTTTTGGATCATCGCTATTGAATTGTGTTTCACATGATAATTGGTAGGATAAATTACTTAAAACCATAGAATAGCTAATGACAGTTTTTATTTTCAGTTGAAAAGACTTTTTTCGTGATCCCGATTCCAGAACTATAATTGATCCGCGTATATCTCTAGTCAAGACCGAATATTTTCGAATAGATAGGAGGATAAATTCAAAATTGCGATTTTTAACCAAACATTCTTTATGAATGACCTCATTGCGGTTCAAATTGAAAATATTTGTTTAAATTCTTTATAGAGAAATGAATACTTATCAAGATATATGTCAACTAAACACATGCTGTTCATATGAGATTCATACAAAGTTGAAGAGAAACCTTATTCAATTGTTCGACTCAATATAGCGCTATGATTATTGTCATTTATTCTTCTATGGGCGTTGATGTTGATGTTGATCAAAAGTGTTTATCAAAGTGATATTGTCATAAGAGAAAACCTTATCAGTTAGAAAATATCTTGTCAAAGAATTGAAGAATGAATGGAGTGATAAATTGCATTCGAAATTTCGTTCTTTTTTATGCATTCATGCCGTAATAGAAACAAGAAATCTTTTTGAAAAAGACATTCACACTGAGAAGAATACAATTCTATTGAACATTCATATAATAACTTCAACTTATTTTAACATTTCTCAAGGCGATGATTTTGATCATGAGAAACAGTATCTTAAAAGGCTTAAAATGGCGTATTAGTACATTAATTTTCACTGTTTTGTGCATTCATGGAAATCACCAACATGATGGTGCCGTTTTATATTGTAAACGGTTGTTAATCTTAGCCTGACTTTCGCTCAGTACTTTACAGTTTAATAGTTCTATCTCAACATGTATCAAATACTTATAACATACGACATAGAACCAATGAAATCTAACACAAAACTAATACTAATTTTGATTTAAACACTGAAGAAAGTTTTTCCTAACATTTATTTATGAATCAACAGTAAAGCATCAAAATGACCTATCTACTTCAACTCCAATATGATTCTTTATTCTAGCATTTAATTATACATCTAAAAGTCTTTCAAAACTTCCAAATGAATTAATAACAGAAAATATAAAAGTCAGTTTTAAATTTTAAACAAAATATCAATAAAATTCTTTATTGGCAAAGAAATCATAGCATAACCTTAGTGTTAAAAGTTATATGGTTGATTTTCCATCAAATTATTATTCTTTAATATAGAAAAACAAAGTCAAATAAAATCCATGGCATTCTCCAAATTGATTCATAAACATCATATTTAATACTTTACTTAAGGTCATCATCGTAAATAATGTACAATGTTTCTGTGCAACATCATATCTTAAAGATTTATGATGTACATTGAATCACTCAGTGTTATAAAATAATATTATGACGAGTATAAGAGGCATAATGTTAATACTCAACTATAACAAATTTTTGTCGTACAAAAGCATCCTTTTAGTAGAAACTTTATTTTCAATAATCATTGTGAGCGTTATACAATGATACAATAAAGTTTATTATAATTAATATTTTGCACAGACTGATTGCGAAGCAAATAACTCAAGTTTTGTCTCCAGTGTCAGTGCTATATTTTCTTCTAATTAAGAAAAAAATCTTGTTATATTTTATTTTACTTCAAATGCTTTAGAAAGTCATCTATCATTTGTTATACTTCAAAGAAACATATGCTAACTTGTTACACATATTATAATTGTTTTATACTGAAAAAATATTTAATCAATAGAAGTTCCTCTAAAAACATTGAAATGTTAGAAAAATAATAGTGAAAAAGAAATTTTTAAACAGAGTTAAAGTTGATTAGTAGAAATTAACTCTATGAGTATCACTTACTAATTTAGAGATAGTATCTATCAGATGAATGTGAGAATGACTTTAGATGACTAAGAAGTTGCGGGTTTGAGTTCAAAAGCTTAGCTTTTCTCAGGTCCCAATCCATAAAAATGTGAACCCGCAGCTTCCTACAGATAACTAAAGACAACGTACAAAGGATTTTGTAAGATGTGTGCGATCGCATTGTAACACAAGAAATACAACTCAAGCTACTTTGCATATTTTTGCTGACATTAAATTTGTTCGATACCGCCATGATTTATCATCATTAGAAACGTTGTTTTTTTTGTCATATATCCTATTATAGGCATGCTCGTTCATGTGCTTATTTTTATGAAGATTGTATGATAACATATTGATTGAACATAGTAGCTAAATTTTGTTTTTTTTTTTTATTAATAAAGAAAATTACTTCTACGAGTATTGAATTACTGTTGCACTTAGAACATGTCGAAGAATTCTATATACATATATATATGACACTGTTAACTTGGTTTCTAGAATTTAATTATGGAAAACATCCATGGTTTTCTTCAATTTTATTTGATATTGTCAAATAATAAACATCTATGAAGAAGATACGTATTTACGCTTTATTAAATTTAAGTAGAACATGATTGACAAGTCGACATCTGCTATGTTGCTCTATGGGAAAAAAAAAACGAGTATATAGATAAAAATAAATGATGAATGATTCTAACGAATCCATAGTTGTAAAGATACATAAGTTTAACAACTCGAAGTAGAACAACTAAGATAGGATTATAATTTGGTAGTTTTGTAGGAGTTTTTATCATTAATTTTGTGCCATTCTATCTTTTGATGAATGGTACAATTCCGTATTCACTTTCTAAGTTTTTCGACCTAGAAAATAATATTTGTTTACTGTCAACATTCTAAGCTAAATACTGCCTTACAGTAGAAGGTATGTTTTCATCATATATTCTGATGATAAGACAAGAAAAAATGGATAGAAGCAGTGTTGACAATGTCATTCAACTTTATTCATTGATGAGAATGACGATTGTCAACATGGTCATGTTTACGACTGTGCTTTGGGTTAATAGGTTTAGAAATTTTTGATTGTGACTGGAAGAACATCACGAAAACTTACATAAATTAATACAATCAGATTTTCTCTCTTTGTATTAACTATATTAGATGATCTTTTTTTTTCAATCGAAATAACAATACATGGTTATCATAACATATTTGAAGTTATCCATTACTTGATAAGAGAAGATGTTTTGTTGTTTAATATTTAAAATTATATTTTCTTTTCGTTGCAATGAAGTCTAGTCATTTATCTCAATGAAATCGATACATCTGATTTTTTGTCAACAATATAAAAAGTTTACGAAAAAAATTGATAGCAATCAGAAAGAATCTTTGTGATTCGCAGTCACAAGTTGTAATCATGACTAAAAAAGTTTAGTCACACATTGGCTATTACTCATCTCTTCTCGAACAGCCTATTCGGTATAATTACGACTGTATTCATCAAATTTCATTTAAATTATTGCTGGCAATAGAAATAAATCCTTCATATCAGAGTCCAGTGTTAGATTTCAGTCAATCTTGAATTAATACAATAAAATTATTTTAATCTCATACTGACATATAAATTGACTATCATACAAAACAAAAATATCATCACATTGCTTTGAATCGTCAAGAAAAATTTCTATGCTCGACATTATCTTTAACTGGAATGTTTAGAATTCCGGAACTTTGCCAATAAGACTTTCGCTAATTATTGGCGAAAATTCAGAGGTGTATTGACGAAAGTCCACTGAACTTTCGCCAATTGGCGAATATCCAGGGAACAAATTGGCGAAAGTCGAATAGATTTTCATTAATGGTAGTGGAACATTCATATCGTAAGTGATGTACAAGAACTATGCCTAGCATTATAAATATGTACCTCAAATCATACAGTTAAGAATATTGTTGACATCAATCTCTCTAATCAATACTACCGTTCTACTTAAACTCGAGAAAGTTCATTGAATATTCACCAATTGGCGAAAGTACAGTTTGCGAAATTCCTATTGGCGAACTTTCGGTAACCCGAGTGTTTCACTCAAAACCAAAATAAATCTTTCTAGAATAGCAAAAGACGAAAATACGAGTTTTTCGCTTTGTTCTCGTAGAACATTATATATAAATGCGTAAGCCGATCGGCTGAGCTACAAAAATGTATATACTATTTTAAGAAATCTCCGACATCCCAAATCGGTTTTCGAAGATCTCATAATCTAGTTTCTTGTCAACAAATTCTCTACCATCATTTTCCCCTCTTCTTCATTTCAAAAGTAAGATTTTATAAACTTTATCAAAAAACTTCAACTACCGCTGTCGTTAATCAATGCATCAAGCTTATACCTTTAATTGCACATTCGATCGACGTGTCTCTTTTTTACATTTCTATTTTCTGATGTCTTTTAAATAATTGTTTATGAAATTTTAAATAGACGTCTACTATTCATGTTTATAAATAATACAACAAAAAAAGAAAACATAGTTTTTCATCAATCGAAAATATCTACATATAAAACAAAATACACACACGCACAATAATAATCTAATTTATACATAATAACAAGAGCCACTTAACATAATAAATAATAGAACATGTTGAGCACCAAAAAAAAGAAAAATTAAAAAAAAAAGACTAAATCATGAAGAAAATGCTTTTGCACGTTCACGTAATTTAGCTATTTCACTTGATATAACTAATGATGGTCCTAATTTAATTTTCATTGTATCTCGCAAATGCTCTTGAGTTATTAATAATAAGGCTTGACCGTCTATTTCACTTTCATAAAATGCTTGACGTATTGTTTCATTTGTTAAACGTGCAATGAATTGGCCTACTTGTAAGACCTAGAAAAAAAAAACAAACTATAGAAATTATTTTTAATAAATATTCAATTCTTACCGTCCATTTACTTGGATCAGTCGGAAGACCATGATCATGTGGTAATGGTATTTGTTCATTGATATTTGATTCAATTGGTTGCTGTACAATGATATTTTCTACAACCTTTACAAAAATTTCGTTTTATAATCAGAAAAATAATTTTGATTTATTTATTTTACTCGTATGGGTTCATTAATTGTAGATGGTTTATTTTCATTTGACTTTGATAAGCACAAGATTGAACAAAATTTTTTTTCTCGATCAAAAAATCTTTGTGAAAAATCAATTTTTTGACATATAATACATTGAAGTTGATCAGTATTATCTTTATAATTTAAATTATCATTAGCAACAAATGGATGACTACTTTCACGTATTACAAAACCACCAATATAATGAACGGCAATATCATTATTTGATGATTTTTTTGGTGATGAATTTTGTTGAACAATATTAGAAAGATTTGAACTTGTTCGAGAAGATATTTCAAGATTATGTGTTGGTGTTACGGAAGAAATTGATGGTTGAGAATATTCTGTTGTGATAGGTTGAGATAAATAAGGAAAAGTAGTTGATGATATTGATGGATTTGTTGTATTAACTAGAGTATTAAATGTTGGTGATGTAAGTATGTTTGTTGATGTAGTTCCATTAAGTAATGATGGATATGAATATTGATGTTGTTGTAATAATGAAGGATTAGTTACTGGAATGGTCGTCTAAAAATTAAACATTGATGTTACATACAGAGTGTCCTAACAAGTCAACTCTTCAATGATTCATATTAGTTTTTCATAGGACACTCTTGGAAGTTTTATTTTATATGATTTCACCTATCACTATTGTTTCAAACGATCAGCATCAACAATAACAAAGGAACACTTTCAACTGATCAATTGCTTTTAAGTTCAAACTCTATCCATAAGGTAAACTTCAGTTAAATATGAAAAACTCCTAAAAGATAAATCTCATTAAGCCTTCTATTCAGAGTTACAGGCATTTGACTTGAGTTTTAGTCTATGGCACGGTATATATCAACAAATCGAATGACAGTATCTTGTCAAATAGAATCTTCGGTATTCCATGAGCAGTGATACATTTTTTTTAAAAGACTTTAACATATCAGGATGGAAACATGCTTTCGAGCTGAAATTTTCAAGATTTTCTACTCATTAATACAGTTGGTCGTGGACAAAATCTCAGTAAAACGTCTATAACTCTGCACAAAAGACCTAAGAAAATTTATTCATTTGAGGTCGTAATAAACTTTATGCATTGGTTTTCTACAATTATTTCAAAACACATGATTTCATGCCTTAGAGTAGATGGCGATCATTTGAAACAATAGCTATGAATGAAATAAAACTTCCAAAAATAGCCTATGAAATGAAGAAAAATTCGATCCATGTAGTTTTTTTAAATTTATAAAACAGATTTCTAAATTCATATTTCGAATATTCTCTTCGTATATAAATGTTTTATAAAAATTCTTTATTCATTCGATTTTATAAACTTACTATTTGACTTGGAAAAATAAGTGAACCACAATTATTTGAATGATTAGGTAATGTATTAAATGTTCTTGTTTGCCCTTGCATTAATAATGTTGTATTTGTTACATTTGGTTTAGTTAATTCAGTAATTGTTGATGTCAAATCATTTTTTATTGGTTTATTTGTCAATGGATCTCGTTCATATAATCTAAATATAATGCATTATTTATAAAAGAAAAAAGATTTTGTTTGCTACTCAAATAACCTTGGTCTTCCACGTTTCTTTTTCGACATACTTGAGCTAATTAGAACAAAAACGTATAAAAAAATACGAAACAAAAAGAATAACCGTTCTTTTATTTTACCTGCTTGATCGGCGATGACGATGATTAACTTTTTCTGCTATTTGTGTTAACGATAATGAAAGATTACTATTTGATATTTTTGATTCATCTAATGATGAATTATTATCATAAGATTGTAAATTATTATTTCCATTAATAATGGTTGTTGGTAGAATTGATGTTTGATGATTAATACCTGTTAATTGTTGTGTTGTTGTTGTTGTTGTACCATTTGTTAAAGTTGCTAAAATATAAATGTTTATAAATTTCTTTAAAAAGAATATTTTACTTTGTTGTTGCATATCAATCGAAGAACTTGTTCGAATTGTTGTAATTGTTTGTGATGAATTTGATACTAATGAAATGAAAAATTTTTATATAAAATATTAATCAGAAATTTATTTCAACATACCTAATGAACAATCTCCATTTGTTGGAAAGGAAGATATAACAGGTTGACTAGTAGTTGAAACAACATTAATTGGTGTTGCTTGAAGAACTTGTCCAACTTGATTTCGAAATGTAACTGGTTTTTGACCATCACTAGCAACTTGAACAAGCTGTAAGGAAAAGATTTCTTTTATTTTTATTTTTGAATGAGTTTTTTTTTTCAAAACTAACTTGTCCTTGACTGCCATCGACCACTAAATAAGTAGTAAATCCTGGTGATGAAGTTGTTTGAACTATTTGAATATTGAAATAAGATTTTTTCCTGTTGGAGAATTCATTTAAATGACTTACTTGATGTTACTGTTTTTGGAATAATTGGTGCTAAAGAAGAAGTTAATGAAAGAGTTTAGAGGAGTTTTATTTTATTTACTTATTTGATTGTTATGTAAAATTGGTTTTGGTGTACATGGAATTATAGTTGCCGCCTTTATAGTCGATGGTCGAGCAAGTACTGTTGTTGGTTTAGTAGATGATCGATTGACTTTTTTACTATTAAGATAAGTTCGAAAACCCTTTGAAAAAAAAAAAGATTTGATATTATTTTCTATAGAAATAATGAATAAAACATACTCGTTTTGTACGTTTTATTGTTGTTGATGGAGTACTTGTTAAAAACGGTTGAGCTGATGCTATTGGCACTGTAATCAATTGTGTTTTAGTGACTGGTGGTGGCGCTACTGATGATTCTGTTAGTGAAATAGTTGGTTTTTCATGATCAATTTCAGATTTTAGTAATGATGCATTCAAAGTTCCTGATAACAACGGAGGTACTTCTACCACCTGATACATTCTACCAAAATAAAATAAATATTGAAAATTAAGTAGACTTATTTCGCAATGTAACCAACTCGGGTTTTTTTTTTCTTTTTGCTTTTTTATTTATATGTTGGAAAAAAATGAACGAATAAAAATTTATATAACAAGAAAAAAAAAAAAAGAAAATGTAATCATCATCATTATGATAACATGTCGAATGGAAAAATTATTTTATTTTTTTATTTTTTTCTATTGGTTATCAATATTGTTTTATGTGGATTACACCAATAAAAAAATTGAAAATTATCTACCAATCGTAGTCTTAACAAAATCCAACACGACCTCTATACGATAGGTGACTCTCGCACAAGTATATGGTTCATTAAACAATATGATTAGTGCAAACGAAACTTTCTAGAGGAAATAATAAGTCTTACATTAATAAGTGTATTTTTTTCATAAGAATTTAATAAATAATATCCGCATCAGAATTAAAGCACGGTGAATGTAAGCTCAATCACTCCACTATGAAAACAGCTAGAAATTTGAAGTTTTGGGGAATCGAAAGAGGAGAACTTTAGACGTCTTTTTGTATGATACTATATAAAACAAAATTATTTTAAAACTTCCTATATGCACAAAACATTAGAAAAAAACTGCATGAAAAAAGTCTTCTGTTTCAATATATGGACCAAACAGAATTGTATAGATATTCAGTAATATTCTATTGGCTTTTAGCAAACCTAATTTCATTGGAATGGAAAGTTCTCCTCCTGTGATTGTTGTAAGTCACAAGTCGGTAGCTGTGGTTGTTGTTCAGTTTTTGAGATTATACTGACTCCTCTTTATTTGTGGTGTAGACATTAAATAGTATCTCTTGATTTGTGGATGAATGCAAAGAAGAATAACACCAACACTGACATCCTGAAGATGGTGACACTGATATTGCATCATCAGTTGTAATTATTTCATTTATATTCACAATAGCTATGCTATTACATGTATTACATTTTTCTTGCAGTCAAGTTTTCGAGATTTTTAAAAATAATATGAAATTTGTTTTGGACATTTAAATAATAAATTAGAAGCTAGTTGTACAATTGTAAAAGAACATAAAACAGAGAACGCTGATAGACAGGTTCTTTCTATCGTGCATAAAAAAAAGGAAAGACGAGTCTTTTTTGCGTTTCTTCAATCACATAATATTAATTAACTTTCAACTTTAATAAAAACAGATGTTTGATATATGTGATAAAAATATAACCATACAGATAGAGTAAGGCAATTTGTAGCACTTTGTACCAATTTTTTTGCATATAATTCTCACAATACAAAAGTGTTAGGGAAAGCGATAACCTCTTAGTGCAGATCCTAATTTTTTTTAAGAAAGTCCAAATGTACCCTATTGGTTCGCCGATACACCGCCTATGTCAAGAAATAACTACTGATTAAAAAAATATGTGAAAATAAATTATTGCGACCAGTTACATAATGCTAAGATAGCATTAAGATTCAATGTGACAAGGCAGACCACATGCTCCGCCGTCTTTTGGCCGAAAAAAAATTCTTTGTCTTTCTCATTTTTTAAATTTGTATATACACCTTTCAGCAAAATGTTTCCTGTGGACATTTAAAACAACATTTTTGTCTTAGTTTTTCCTGATATGACGAATGTCTATGTTTATATTTTCTTGTCGTCAGTCAAGTATGGAAAACAAATCAAGTTATTTTGACGATCTAAAAACCAAAGAATATTATCTGCATAATTTTTCCCTAATAAGAAATATAAATTAATAGTTACGAAGCTAACGAGCGGTAAATCTATGTACTCATTATACCATTGGGCGTATTGTTAACAAAATAAACACCAGAGATGGGACTAGTTAGTATGTTTTTGGAATCAAACCAATCTCATCTCCGACTAATACCGATCGATGTCAGATATGTAAGCTTTAACTCAATAGTACATCCAATTTTTAAGGATTTGAAATCAATTTTAGCTCGCAATTCTCTAATTTGAGTTTTCGATAACTCTCTTGTTATGAGCGGTTAACTTAGTACAATAGCCATAACTCTGGAAGGAAGACCTATGGATTCTTGTCCTATTAGGCCTTTTCTACTCTCACTGAGTATCATTTATACGGAAAAAAATCAGCCAAAAAGTTTTGAATTACTTGGCGCGGTTTCCTCCTAAAGGTAAGTCGTACACTCTGTTATTTCTTTGCCGCTTTCCTTAATGAATGGAAATATGTAACAAATATTTATTTAATACGTGATGAAGTGATATTGATAATATATTAGAAAAGATGAACTTGAAGAAAAATTGAATCTATAGTGTAAAAGTGACCGTTTTAAGTTTAACAATTCAAAAGAAATTTGTCCGTCTTGAATAATTTGATAATCTTATGCAAATCATACAAACAAGATGAGTGCAATAGACGCATTTTCCATTTCTATATCGGAATAGTAATATATATTGTTGCTCAAAATTGCTCTAGAAAATATCGAAAAATTTCTCAATCATCCCCCATAAAAGATGTTTCACAAATTTTGTGTCACAGACAAATGACTTTATATGTAAATAAAAAAAGCGAATCCCTCATTGAATGTTTTCTACATATGACTTGAGTATTTGTGTCCTAATGTCAGTTAAGATCTTTTTTAAATAATACTAATGTAAGCACGATAACGTGCTATATTCACTTTTTCGCAACTGATCAACAAGAAATCTAGTCAACGGTTTAAAATGAATAAAATTATTTTTTATAGAAATGCTTATACTTGTTGTTCACTTTTAACCTGTTGCCTAATTAAGTGGTCAGTAGTATATAAACAATCAGGATAATCGCGTATGGATTTCTACTATATCTTATGTAAAATCTATTTATTGTTTAACTAGAAACTCTGAAAAGATTAGCCAATATGAGACAATTTTAAATGTTAATAATGGCACTCAAAGGTCATATAGATGCATTTACTAAGGAATTATTTTTTGTCCACATATAAAGTGATATTACGGAGACTCACCACTTATGAAGCACCATTGCTGAAATTGCATCCGCTTGAGATTCAGTTGCAAATGATGATCTATTCAATGTACGAAGGTCATTATGATCAAATCAAATCTAGATCTTTATTTATTATAAAACGAAGAGTGTTTCTCTATTTGACTTGAAATAGAAGGAGACTTGCAATGAAAATGAAATTGAAACGTATACTGATGTTTAATAATTGGTATATTTTGATATCTAATCAGACGCTGTACTGGCTGCTTTGCGAAAGGAGGGGCACAACAGTCAAGAGAAGCGAGCTATGCGGTAGCAAAGAAAGTAAAAACATTCTGTTGTGAGTAACAATTTTTTTGTCTTGATTTTTTTAACAAGACCCATCATGCTATGGAATAACGGACTCAAAAAGAGTTCTGAAGGCAGAACAGATAAAACATTATGTTCAACCTCCTGTCTAAGAACAAAGAAAAATGAAGTACTTTTCTACACAGTTTCTCGTTAAAATGTAGTGTGGCTCACTCTTAGGCCACATCGTAGCGAATGTGTTAACTGAGCCCAGGACTAAAAAACAGAATCTCACCGGAATCAGCAGCAAAAGGAAGATTTCCACCGGGACCGGGACCAAAGGAAATTTTCCATCGGGACAGGAACCGGGATCAAATGAAAATTTTCACCGGAACCCAAACCGGAACCAAAAATTTAATTTCACCGGAACCGCGACCGGAATCGGGACCAAAAACAGTTGGTCCCGCACATGTCTAGTTCAAACACTTATTACGAATTTTTGCCTTTTTTAAAGCATTTTTCACATGTTCAAGCTAAATTAGTATATTGAAAATTTCCATATGTATATGATGATATAACGGTTTCTATACCGTGCATTATTTTTTGGCAACTAAACCGGAACCGCGGCTTCAGGTTATTTTTGAAATTGTCAAACCTTAGTGCAGGGTAGAATAGGGTAGCAGTTAAAATTTTTTTCTCAGTCATGGCATTGAATACGAAAAAAATTTGCACATCTCTGTTTTCAGAAAGGTGGAGGAGCATCAAAATATGCGGTGTTTACTTGGATGTCCTCGACGAATGATTTCTATGATTAGAAAAAACTGTTTTTTTGTTTTATGAAGTTTATTTTATTAAGATTAGATACGGATTTATTAAAAAATATATTAGATCGACGAAACTATTCATATAAGAGAATAAAAACAGAAATAGAAAAAATAAAAAAAAAATGTTTTTGTTTCTCTTAAAAATGTGCAATATTGTCATCGTTTTTAAAAGCTTGTTTTAAATGTAATGGTAATTTTTTTAAAATAGCTCGTGCTAAATAATTTTCATTTGTATTTTTATCCGATTTTGAAATAAAAGAATTAAAATCTACAAAATGAAAATTATCATATACAACATTTGATTCAATTATTCCATGTCGAATTTGTTTCTTCTTTTCATTTCTTTTTTTAAATGCTAATTCACGAAGACGCTGTTCTTCATATGACATTCTTTGCCATGGTCCATCACCAACACCAATTACAAGTAGACACGTATTTGATAAATTTGTTAATGTGTAAATCAATTCCATCAATGAATTATCTTCATGAGAAATTTTTAATTCATCAGTTAATATAACTAACATACTAAAATCTTTTCTACAGTGTATGCCATATGATATTAATTGTTGTATCAATGGTGTAAATCCAGTTGGACCACCTAATACAACATTTTTTGTTTTTTCTAAATAACTAAAAACAAAATTGATAATAAACTCAATAGATAAAAACAAAAAAAAATATTAATAAAATTTACGCATCAAGAACACTTTGATAATTATTAAATTCTTCATGTCCACCATCAATTGGAAAAAAAGAATAATCTTTTGTAGTTTCATCACCAAAACCAAAACAACAATATTCAACTTTTGAAGGAAATATATCTTCAAATATAATACCTAATTCACTAATAGCCTAAATTAAAACAATAACAAAAGAAAAAATAAAACTTTTATAATAAAAAATTTATCTTCATTGT